ATAACAATAATATTGATAATGGAGATGATAATAATAATAATTCTAATAATAACAATATTAGTAGCAAAAAACCAAACAAACTAATAATAGTGTTTTGATTCAAAAGACAATCTATTTTCTGCCGAAACAAAAAATGGGTGTGATGACGAAATTAAAAAATAAAACGTCCGGAATATTCAAAAAGTGTTCAGACACTGGGTTATAAGGTGAGTGTCTAGAAAGGTAAATAGGTGAATGTGAAGGCAGGTAAATAGGTTATAAGGTGAACGTGTAGACATGTATATAGGTAACACGGTCAATTTAGTGTAGACAGGTAATTCGGTAACTAGGTGAGTGTCCAGAAACAGGTAAATAGGTCAAAAGGTAAATATGTAGACAGGTAAATAGGTCGCAAGGTAAGTGTGACAGGTAAATAGGTCACAAGGTAAGTGTGACAGGTAAATAGGTCACAAGGTGAATGTGTAGACCGGTAAATAGGTCGCAAGGTAAGTGTGTAGACAGGTAAATAGGTCACAAGGAGAATGTGTAGCAAGGTAAATGTGTAGACAGGTAAATAAGTTGCAAGGTAAATGTTTGAACCAGGTAAATAGGCCGCATGGTGAAAGTGAAGACATGTAAATAGGTCACAAGATAAGTGTGCAGATAGGTAAATAGGTCACAAGGTAAATGTGTCACAAGATAAATGTGAAGATAGATAAATAGGTCACAAGATAAGTGTGCGGATAGGTAAATAGGTGGCTGGCTTTACAACAGATGTGAAAACATAATGTGCTATTTGCGGGTGTGTTTCTTACAAAAATCACACGATGGGTCCTGTGTATGTGTGTGTGTGTGTGTGTGTGTGTGTGTGTGTTGAACATAGCACAACGTGATCTACAAAGGTGTCAAGCGACATACAATAGAGGGCAACGAGTGAAAATATCTAGCACATTCTCACTTCCATTCTCAACAAGATCGCTATTTTGAGAAACTCCAGTTGTCGCTATTTTGAAAGTGTCCAGTTGTCGCTATTTTGAAAGTCTCCAGTTGTCGCTATATTGAAAGTCATTTATTGTAGCTACATGTATTTTGAAATCGGCAGTTGTCACTATTTTGAAAGTTTCCAGTTGTCGCTAATTTGAAAATCTCCAGTGCAGTCGCTATGGTTGTCGCTATGTTCAAAGTCTCCACTTGTAAAACAAGAATGTCTCTGAGTGTTGTAAATCTGCTGAGGTTATAGAGTTATAGATTGCTAAGTGCATAGAGCTCGCTGTTGAGTAGTGATATGAGTTATATATACACTGAGTGCTATCTATTTTCTATTACAATTAGATACACTTTTTCTTTCTGCTTTCTTTCTTTCTTTCTTTCCTTCTTTCTTTCTTTCTTTCCTTCTTTCTTTTTTTCCTTCTTTCTTTTTTTCCTTCTTTCTTTCTTTCTTTCCTTCCTTCTTTCTTTCTTTCCTTCTTTCTCTCTTAATCGAGTATCTCGGTCTCTCTGACGTGTTGTTGTATCCCTCTCAGCCCGGGTTGGTCCTGACAGGCAGGGTTGGAAGCCCGCCTCCTAAATGATTTAAAGTATGTCGTTGAGGGCGTACAAACACCTACATTTACTAGAAACTAAATAATCTCCCCTCCCCCTCCACCCTCATTCTGTCTGTCTGTCTGTCTGTCTGTCTGTCTATCTCTTTCTCTCTCCCTCTATCTATCTCTTTCTTTCTCCTCTCTCTCCCCCCCCTCTCTCTCTCTCCCTCCCTCTTTCTCTCTCTCTCTCTCTCTTCCATGAAGTAGATTATTTCACATTCTCCACAGCGGTTTTAGTAATCAATGGTCCTGTTGTTTTAGACACCGAGTGACTGTTGCCAGTACTGCTGTTATAATGTTGTTGTTGTTGTCGTCGTCGTTGTATGGTACCTGTTATTTTGTTGTTGTTGTTGTTGTTGTTGTTGTTGTTGTTGTTGTTGTTGTTGTTGTTGTTGTTGTTGTTGCTAAGAGACCTGCTTACCACGCTCTGACCTATTCAACTAAACGTGACAACTGAATGAACGATACTTGTCTGTAGGATAAGCAGGCTATTCAAATAAAAATAGAAATCAAACATGACTAATGAAAAATAAATAAAATAAGACAAAAAAATACACCACAGAAACACACACAACAGACACACAAATAAACAATAAAAATATAACCAATAAACAACCCCCCGCCCCCCCCCCTCCCGCAAAAAGAGACAAAAATCCTACAAAACAAAACAATAAAAAAAAAACCCTGAGAAAAAGGAAGACCGTAGTATAGTAGCGACGGCCCTGAAACCCCCTATACCGATTGTAAACTATGACGGATCTGTACACACATTAAGTCAACTGTTTCAACAATATCATTGTGCGTATTATATTATGTAGATTCTATCTTTTTGGGTTGTTTTTTTTTCAACATTTACCATCGGAATTTCAGTAAATAATTTCCTTAGTGGGTGGAACCGATAAAACATACGACCATCTCTCCTCCCCCCCCC